CAAGGAACTCTCCAGATGGTGTCCCAATGAAACACAATTTCTAAGGAACAGACTGGGCTTCTGTACGGCAGAAATGAGTATTTCAAGTACATAAGCTAACCATTTACAGAGCAATTAAGCCTAATGCAACAGTAGTAGAAAAGAACTAGAAAATCTTGTTTCCTTTTTTGTATAAAAGATCAAGTTCCATGCTGTATTCTCTATATAAATACAAGAATTTATACAACCAGTGAGGATCTCCTGTTGATAGTTACCAAATGATGCTTCATCAATCCCTCTGACACTATCGTTTCTCTCTGAAGATGCAGCAGACAAGTTTTACATCCTGTCCAAACTCCTGAGCTTCCTCAAGTCACCAAAACCTCCTCCTCTGACTGAAGGCAGCAACAGTCATGTACAGTTCCTGCAAATGTTACATCTTTGCAGTTAGAACAAACAGCATCAGACTTGACAATATGAAAATCATACCCCACAGCAGAAAATCTATGCAAACAGAACCAAAAGAGCAAAGAGCCTTTTAACATAATATAATGCCCAGTGCACTGCATCTGAGAGGTCCTCATGCCATTGGGGTGGAAAAATAACAACTTTATGTAATTTTCTGTGGCGCTAACTTACTCATACGAGAGCCGTGCGAGGAGATTTCCTGGTGGTAAGCTAAATATCTTGCTCCAGCTGAGTTATCCTCAACAATATACATCACTGGTAACTTTAACTTTCACAAAGACTGTTTACACTGCTAATTACAAATTACCAGAACTGTCAAATGCAAGAACCTAGTACTTAGGAACACAAATGAAGAATGGAGAAACAGTAGTAAACATTAGCAATGCAACTGGTCATAGGAAGCATTAAGCAAAACGGGTTCTCTGCCATGTCCACGGTGGAATTTATCTATACATAGTATATTGTTTAAGAGTAAAACTTTTTAAAAAGTAATGCTACTATACTTCTGCTAATACTTTGTGTGTTAATCTTCCGTTGCATGTGGAAAAGGTCTCCTGCCAATCTTCCAGAAAGAAAGACTAGACGTAGTGAAAAACACGGGTAATTTTACCCTTGGAAAAAGCTGTGTACATTATCAAGGCATTACAAAATTTTCACAAAGTAGCATCACTGAGTTCAATTAAAAAGTAAAAATTGGCAGATTACGTGTTTCTATATAGAAAACACTGAAACACATAAAATTGGCCATTATAAAAAATTATATTCTTCTTGTTTGAGTTTTACATTTCAGCCTGAATTTCTTGGAGAAGGGATGAAGAATGAGGATTTCTATTATTTACGCTACCAAGGCTATTTACTTTAGTCCTAGAGCAAAAAATACTGGATTGAGATAGTCCGGCAGGATCTTTTTTGGTCACGTGTTTTGGCTTTAGGTTTTACTGTCCTCACATGCATTACTTCTCTTGGGAGTTAAAAAAAAGTAGTTACACTACATACAAATATAGCAAAATAGATAAAGAAGATCTGTAGTTGCCATAACAGAAGCATTTTGATTTTGGACAAGTTTCTCCTTTAAGTTATTGCAAAAAGTGAAAGAAAGAGTGCAAGATTGCCTGGTTTCACTCAGTTTCTCGAAGGAAGGTGTTACTCATTATAAAGGTAGTATTTGTATCGTCTGGAAACAGAGGTTGCTACAACAGTTGAACACAGGAAGTGGGAACAAATCTACTAAAAATGACAGACACTAGGTATGCACTCAGCAATGTGCTGTCATTTTAAAACACGCATTTCTTCTTTCCTAATTGTAGAGCATTAACCTACACGAACACCAGTCACTTCACAAAAAAAACACTGATTGCTCTGCATTCCTTTCATAGATTTTAAGGAACAGAGACTGAACATGCATGTTTGGGAGAAGTTAAAATTATGGATTTTTTTTTCTTGCCTCAGTAAACTTCATATGGCAATTTTTGACTTGATGATTTTAGTATCTTGAATCAGGCTCCAAAATTCTACTGGGGTAACTATCACCAAGTTTCCAGAAGAGAACCCCCTAACTATTTCTAGGGGGGGTGTTTACCTTTTATTCTCTATTGAAATATTAGGAGGTATGCTTTGAAAAATTTCAGCCATTAGGATTAAATAGATTCAAGTCATTAAAAATGAAACTATGCAATCCTTAATTCTAGGAGCTGGGGTTTTTAAAATAGCAAGAGAAAACAAATACTTGGAAATTTACAGTCATCATGAAGCTGTAGACTGTGTTTAAAAATCTTTCTTTAGAAAAGCCACATTACTAAACACAGTAACAAACCCTGTCAAATGCATTTGGATTTGAAATCCAATACTACTCTAAGGCATGAAGTGGCATAAAACTTGCTCTCCTGGGCATCTACTAAATACAGCATAAATGATGTTTAAAATAGTCGTTTCTTTTTTTTTTTCCTTCCTACTTGTGCACTTAACACCCTCCTTTCACTTGCAACAATTAAATTCTTTGGTGGTCATTTAGAAAAACTGAACTGTACAGAGACAGGCAACAAGTTGCCCTATACTGAGGTAATCTGAGAGTATCATAAGAAAGTTGCTTTACAAACCATGTGTGGACATTTTCCCTGCCTAAGAGCATCTCTCAATTTTTAAATGTACTTGGTTTAGGCCTCTGCTGCAATCACTGTTGGGCCTTAAGGATTTCGGTTCTATAGCCCAGCTTAATGCATTACATGTAGCAAGACTGAAATCTGTAGAGAGAATTTATCCTACAGTTAGGAGAGTAAAGACAGTTCTTTCATTAGCTACAACCAGGGAGATTAACTACAAAGTCTACCATACCAGCCATAGATCACAATGCTGCCACACATTCAAATGCAGTGTAGCCCGCAGAGAAACACAGATAAAAAAAGGAAATACAAGTCATGAAGGCTTGGCACTTGCCATTCAAACACCAGTAAAGGGGTCAATGTCAAGTACAAAAAAAATCCTTTCCATTCTTTGCCTGATTTTCCATTTTTTGCATATGCTTTTAATACAACAGTATGAAAATAACGTCACTTGGCAAATGGATCTGGGGGGCAAAGCCCTGAGGGGTTTGACTGAAATATAACGGTACGTAGCCTTTTACTCCAGTTGGTATAGCAGGGCAATCAGTTACGTCCACAACGCTCCCGAGCGGTCACTGTTCAACCTACAGCAGCATTATGATGGGACAGAAATAAGTCCCCTTTGCATGTTCTGTTTGTGACAGAAGAATGAGGGGAACAGTTTTTACTTTCCAAAAGTCAGTTCCTATCATGGCCATGAAGAACGGGAGGGCAAGACCAGGATACAGTACTTGACAGTGTCCCCCTTTAACTGGGGGGGAAAAAAGCTTTTGAAAAGAGAAGTGCTGCTCTACTGCCCAATAACAAACCAAACACACAGCAACATATTCTTTAACCTGTAGGAATTGACAAAGATACTTGGTAAAGTCAAGCTCCTCTTGCTGGAATGACCCAACCTAGAATCAGCAGGGAAATACCGATTCTGCACAAGTTCTTGGGTGCAGTGTGGTGCAATATCTCATCTCAACCATTTAAATAGCTTTTAGTTTCTTAATGTCTAAAGATGCAAATTATTATTTTTCTATATGTTACTACTCATGACAAATTAACCAAGAACTCATTTATGAAGCTATGTTTTGCTTAGTAAATGGTAAGTAATCCTATAAACTCTGTTCTACTGCAATTTATAAAGAAAGATGGTTTTCATTTTTTAAACTGTTTATGTTCATGAATTACTACCTTGTATGTGATTCATCTTTGCATGCATAGTGTAAAACCTTTGAGTTTGTTTTCTTTTAAATGTATATAATCTACCAGTGTAGGAGTATTGACAAGAAACAAATCGATGCCTTTGTATGTATACATAGAAAATTTTAAATTAATAGTAAATTAATAATGAGCAAAAACTTACCCCACAAAAATCAAATTAGCTGCTACATTTTAAAACTTTTCTTATAAATAAAATGGATTTATTTTCCTTGTTAAAAAAAAAATCCAATAATCTTTTAACCTTCTTTTTGAACAACAGAATAAATAAAATGATTAGTGCCTGAAAGTTCTAATATGCTACAGATGTTTAAGGTCACTAACTACATTAATGCACCATGAGAAATTCGTTATAATTTTCCATGCAGGAAGCCAATTGATATTTTTGTGAGGTACCAGTCTTTCAAAATTACTCATAAGTTAGTTACCTGATACACCTTCTGTACATAGTATATTTTAAAATCTATCTGTACAACGTTTCATTCATATATAATGCATATAACTCGCTGAATATGGCACAAATGCTAAGTTTCCACACCCACACACCCTTTGTCATAGAACACATTCAGGTAAAACACAACACTGAAGAATAGAAAAGTGCCTGAAACTGGGAAAAAAAAAAAAGACACTCAAGTAGAAATAAATTAAATCTCATTCAAACTTATATAAAAGTTGTTCAAGTGTTTTAAGTATCAGGCGGGTCATGCAACGGAACACCAGACAGGCCAGGCAGGCACACCATGCAGCAGAGCTCGCGTGCGTGGCGTAGCAGATCTGTCACCGCGCCGCGTGGCCGGCGACCGGTCCCTGCTCGCAGGCGCGAGGGCAGCCATCCCCCCGCAGGCCGTTGGCGCCGCCTCGCGCCTCGCGCTGTGAGGAGAGGGAGGCTGCGCTGCACGTAAGCAAAGCACATCATCTCTTAGCTATATTTTGCCAGTCACCATGCACCGAACAATTCACCCAAATGTGCTTATCCAGACCGGTCAAGTTTGCACACCAAGCAAACATCTTCGTGGAACCTTTTTCTCTTTTTTTTTTTTTTGGCACAAAACCTTTGATGCTCTTGCAACACGCTCTTCACCAGACAAGAATTCAGAGATATTAGCCTGTACAAACACACCAGTGCTTCTTCTTCCAAAGAGTAAACTGCAAGGACAGCTAAGTGCCTGTAACAGCGTTGCTTCTCCAGCAACCTCCCCTCTCGCTCCAGGGAAAGCACCAACGTAATTACACATCAGACACGGGGGTGTTCTTGCCAAGCTCCTTAATTCCCTGGAGAATTCGCTTCATATGGCCCACTTTCGTTATCCCCAGGTCCTACAGAAAATTAAAAAAAAAGGAAAAAACAAAAGGAAGAAAGAAAAAGAGGAGAGCTTATTTACCAAATAAATAAAAGGACAATGATTATGATTTAGCTGTGCAACAGATATCTAGAAATGTGCTAACTACAATTGACTTAACGTCGACTGGAAAAGGTTTTGAGATTCTGGAGTGCTATCAAGTGTTTCCTAACAAGAAGCTAGCTTGCAGCATACAATGAACCTCCATATGTCCTACGGAGAGAAAATTACTTACCCGCAATAATCACAACCCAAGGCACTGCCATATCTCTCAAAAAGGCATCTTTGTCTTGACTGCTAATGTATAATGCTCTGCACAACTTCTGGAGAAAAAGAACAATCTCCCCCTCCTCTCTAACACAGCAAACAACAGCTTGGTAGGATGTGATGGATCAGAGCCTCTGTCCAGCAACGTTATCCTGATTTGTGGCCCCATGATGTCTGTTTTCAGCAATGAGCACACACATCCCCAGCTTCTCAGCTGTAATAATGTCTACAGGCATGTAGGACAACTTCCCTTCAGAGAACAATAGGTAAGGTCAAGCATTCGGTTTTCATTCTGTAAAGGTAAGTCTCCTTACATGGGTATGCTTGATCATTAGAGAGCTAAAAATAAAATTCTGAAAGACATGACAGTCACATCCTACAGGAAAATAATAAAAAAATCCCATAAATGCAAATCTTTTTATACCCCCTAGTAAGCAAGTAATGCCTTCCAAAATATTTCTAATACTGGTTTCTGAGACCCATCTCCCTGTGACTGAAAATAAACAATAGATTTTTACATCAAACCTCTTTCATCATTAATAACAGCTTTAGCAGATTTTTTTCCCCATTTTTTACTAGTCCAATGGTCAGAGAAGGATAATGGGAAACTCCTACTGTACTAATTATCTCCGATTGCACTAATAAATTTTCCTCTTGGTTCTCTGGAGCTCTGTTTCCCTTATCTGTATAAACCAGCTCTGAAAAACTCTTATTTGTAAAAAAAAAAAACAACTTGTGTAAATAGTTTGTGATTAATAAAAATGTTTTACTGAAGTTTACTATCTATTCTTCAGAAAAAAAAATCCTTTAAATAGGAGAATTTGCCATTACAAAGATATTAAAGGGAGAGAGTGGATGACACAGCTTGGAATAATTACTTTCCTACAGAGTAAAACATAAAGCCATATACAACATTCTTTACACACTTTGAACAAAAAGGCTGTTTCTACCTTTCCTCGTCCACAGAAATCTCAGAAAATCTGTATATTACTTGAAGGTGTTACGCATGCAATTCATCATGCAATTCTCTGAAGAAAGGATCAATAAGATGAGAATGGATTCACTGTTTTGTCATAAATGAAGCACAGCACAGATGGATTAATTTTCAGGGAGCCAGGTTTGAATTCTGGTTAGTGAAACGTGGAAAAATTCACTGTATCTTCAACAGAAAGCTAGCAATAATACAACACGTGACCATCCTTTCCAGTAGTTTGGCACAAAGTCATCAAAATTAGAGAGTTCAAGATGTCTTCATAAAAGGCCCCAACATAGGCTTTACGGACAACTTACTGCTGTTCATAAACCTATCTGAAAAGAATGTGGTTTTTTTTTCCACATCACATCAATTTAGATTTTGTTGTAGCTAATGCAACAAAATGCTCTCTTCTAAAAGCATAACACAAATTTTTATACATCAGCTCGCTTAATTTAAAACTCATCCAACAATGAGAACAAGTTTTATCATTATAGATATGAAGTTGGAGAATGTTTTTTTTCTTATTCTGAACTTAATTTCACAATGAATTAAAATATGCACAACCCAAATATCTCAGTTGCTATCTGGCAGAAATTCTACATGAGGAAAAGCTGTAGGATTCTTTCCAAGCCACAAGAAGGCACACGTATTAAAGGTTAAGAACTACTAATCCTTCAAAAGAAACATTTTCCATGAGTAGAACTTCTGTTGGATTAGCAACAGAGTGGGGTATTGTTAGACCTCAAAAATCATTAAGGAAAGAATTATGTTATGAAATTTCCTGAAAACTTGGTCACTTTTTCATCAGTCTCCAAAGTCTCACCAACACTGCCCGTGTTACAGAGGTGATTCAGTTTTGTTTTCATTCTAATTAAAGTTACTGTAATTTCAGATCAAAGAGACCAAGAGCCCTACCTCAATTTTTCACTACATTCCGCCACATATAAGAGGAAAAAAAAACATATCTGACAAAATAAAGTCTGAATGTTCATGCTTGTGTAATTTCCTCCAGAACAGTCAATCAAGATTTACCTAGAAGCTGTTGAGTGTTCTCATTTCACTATTGATGCAGAAAGGCTTTCAGAAATTCTCTCATCTTAAAGCAAAAGGTTTTGCAACAGCAGCATATCATGTATCAGTCAGAAAAGGAAGATCTCCAAAAGTGCATGCATTACCTACACTATGAGCTTTATAATCTGGCCCTATTTTACTGAAATCAACTATCAAAAAATTGATTTCATCAAAATATGGTTTTAAAGGCAGAAGTGTAGACAGATTTTGAGCAGGAAAAGTCGCCCCACTGTCCCAGCTACAGTCTTAAAACTACAGGATCACCTCTCCTTGTGTTTTCCCCATCTCCCCATCCACTTTGCTCCTGCTCCAGCAGCTGAGGCTCAAAACATTGCAGCAGCTGAGCCTAAAAATGCACCAAAAAAGAAAAAAAAAAAAAAAGATCTTTGAATACTCAAACAGGATAAAAATGTCCTTGAAATATATACTGTGTAAATATCCTTGAAACAGCTTTCAGCTACAATATGTTTTGGCTATTAGACCCCTAATCCAAGGTTTGCCCAACAGATTTTGTCAAAATCTAATATTATTAAACAATTTATTTAAGCAGCCTTAACACCTTCCAGATTAGAAATCTCCCTGATTTACACTGCCAGTGTGGAAAGACTTCAAATATGTCTGAAGTCTAACAAATCTCACCAAAAATTTTGCTATAATCCTTTTGAAAAATCCCTTCAGCAAAACGCAGAGGCAAAATTCCACAAGTCCTGGCACAGATTTTAGCTTAACTCTCACTACTCATCAAATGCTGTCAAGAGATGTGGAAACCATTTCTGCAAAAAAACCTGCATGTCCATGGAGAGCTATGGAGACAAAGTACCACGGAGCTCTATGAAACCTATTGCAGTTCTCACTACTACTAAGTTACAAGCTTGGGAACAAGCTTGTCAATGCTAAGTGACAGTATTTACCTCAGCAAAATAAGAGAAGAGCCTAGTTTTCAATGAGCTTACTTATAAAACAAGGTTAATAAAGAAAAAAAAATCAGGATGAGTCCCCTCTCTCAGCTCACTTTAATGTACAATGCTAAGGTGCCCTTAAATAACATCAGGCATAAGAGTGTGGGGAAGGGCATTAGTGAGGGGGTGGATGAACAGGTCTCTGGTTCCAGGCAGAGCCAGTTGCTACACACTAAATTAAACTAAACTAAACTAAAAGACCCACAAGCAATGCAGAAATACAACTACAGGTGACAGATTCTTCAGTCAAGGTAATGATCTACTTCAGTGATGTGGGGAAAAGGAGAGTTCATCAAAATGTTATTGCTACTGCCATTCATCTCTATTTTTGACCACAGAAGGAAAGGTGGGCCCAGGGGGTCCAATTAAAATGGACAACTATTTTTCCTAGTGTAGATACGAAAGGTAATGGAAGTAAATCAATCGCTTGTGCCTTTGGAGGCGGTGAATCAATGGCAAATGCTCTTAGCCTGTTAGGAAGCACAAAGCTGGTCCTTAAGGAGAGTCTGCAGACAGACCATAGCTCACAAAAGCCCTGAAGACTCATCTGCACAGCCCAATAGCCAAGCAGAGGACAAATTAACAAGGTAGCAGCTTGTGACGTGCTCCTCGTTTCCCAGGGACAACGTTACACATCTTTACAGCAATTCAGGTCACCAGCCAGAAAAGCACAGCCTGCCTGAGCCATCCTTAACTGGCTGCCTGCAGAGATCCTGCCCCGTATGCATGGAGCAGGGGGAGTGTGGATTCAACGGTGTTACACAGGGCACAACCCATCTTTGGCCAAAAGCCTGGCCGAGCTACATGCAGCACTTTAAAATATGCATACATGCTTCCAGAGGGCATTAGAGAGAGGGGATGGCAGAAGTTTGTCTCGCTGTTGGCTCTATCCAAGACCAGCCTTTAGGAATTCTGGGGCATTACCTTTGTGATGGTGTTTTATTTGCACTGATTCAGCGTTTGTCTGAGCAACGGGGATAACAAGTTGATAAATACCTTGCTGCTCATAGTTGCTTGGCTTAAGTGCTTGTCTTCTGGGCAAGCAGAAAAACTGCTACCTATCTATGGCAACATGTTTAGTTAAACAATGATCTTTTTACCGTTTGTTTCAATAAATATGTGATTTTGATTTTTTTTTGAGAAATTCTTATTCTTCTAGCAAAACAATGCATTGTGTGATGCTAAGTTTCCAATTTAACATTTTTTAATTCTTCAATGCCCATTCAGAACAGGAACTTATAACACCTATTGACTGGAACACTGTGGTGGTTTTTGTGTAGAGGTTTTTGTATATTATCCTGAAAGAAAAGCCTTTACCATCCATGGAAAGAAGTTTATGTGGCCTAATACCAAAGGACACATAATAATACACAACAGCAAAATACATTATACTGACCACAGCTCCCTGTACCAGCTACATGCTAGTGTTACAGTCACACAATATAAAGCACTACCTTATAATGGCAGGATTTCAAACTGCAGGAGAAATTTTAGGAAAAATGCCGTATCTGCATGAAAGTATTGCCTGTATCTGGAGACAACTGCACTGGGGCTAGAGCAATGACTTGCACTCTAAATGTAAATGTTTGCAATTTATACAATATCTCATTTCCTATCTTATGCGCTGAGGGTAGTTGCAAACACATTATCAAGAACTCATTATCCCTGGGTTCCCGGAAAAAGTAATGTAATGAATCCCCAAAGATATAGTCTCTATTACATAAAATGGATGCACTTAAGTGATTCCTGAAAAAGACCAGCAAGCTCAGATAACAGCCTCAGACTTTTAGGTAAAATTTCTCCCTGCAAAATTTAGTTCTTATCAATCTGACCTCAGAGGAAGAACGTTTCAGACTCTGAAACAACCATTCAGACAAAAGAAAGTGTTTTTTTTTAAAAAAAAAAAAAAATCTACATAGCTAAAATCAGGCAGAGGTTTGTCACGGATGAAAAAAACTACTCAGAAAGTTTCTTTTGACACATGAACACCAATGTCACATAGGTCCAATGCTGCAATTTATTAAGCTGGTTTTTCTTTTTCACACTAGCTATCCCAGTGTAGCAGTACAGTAAATCACCCTGGTGAACTTTTAGCTTTGCCTTTGCAGGACATGTATTCAAAATTCAATTTTCAAAATTATTTCTAGCAGCTTGATAAATTGATCCACACTGATCCTGTTTAATGAGACTAGGTGAAACAATGACTTTTTAAAGTTAACATGATGTTATATTACACTGATGTCAGTTAGAAATCAAAAAAGTTTTTTCCTGCGCCTTCTGCCATAAGGTATAATGCTGTCATTCTATATCAAGTGCAAGAAAAGGAAATTTCTGATATCAAAGATATTCTGGGCTGCAAGTGCGATTCAACACTTAAGAAACTCAGGCCAGAGGACAGCGCACATTAGTTTATTGCATGTTTGCACAGTGTAAGCCAAGCTACAAGCACATAACAAGTGCAGGGAAAGAAGAAAAGTTGGTTGTTGTTTTGTCAAAGAAAATGGTCAATAGCAGAAAAGTAGCACAAAGGAAATACCTTAAGATCTCGCCTTTCCAGATGTAAAAGCTCTGAGCCTCGGATGTCATGGCTGATGAAGATTTCTTTGTACTCTCCCAAACTGAGCAGATCCAGCCAAGCAGCAACTTCATCTGTGCCCCATTTTTGAACTACCAAAGTTAAGAGCAAAACCCCCTTAATTTCTACATGCTCAAATGCATTACAAGCAAAGGTTAGGCCAAAGAGAGTGGAAAACAGAGTAGAATTGCCGTGCTAGCAAAGGGAAAGGTTAGAGGTGTCATTTCCACAAAAACTGACAATTTCCTTTTCACATGCAGGTTTCAGGTTAGCAGTTAACATGAGAAAGTATCTAAACAAAGTTGGGGTTCTTTGCTTTGCAGCCATGCTTTCAGCTTTATTCCAGTTTCTTCAATAAAGCCTTTTAAATCTCATGTCCCACAGATTCACATTAAAACATCTCAGGGTCAGTGACGCAAAAGCTCAAGTTGTCCCTCTTTATACTGATAATTTATTGGTTGTCATCCAGCAGGAGGAGAAGCCTTCAAAAGCTTATTAACATGTAAAATTAATAGATAAGCTACACCTCAGACATAGCAATGGCAGCAAGCAAGTCCATTTTTAATTTAAATTTTCTAATATTCTTAATGAAATAGATATTCTTTAAGCCACTGTGTTACACAGGCCATTAGTAAGCTCTCTGTGAAACATTGTTCTCTAAGGTTAGTTGCCCACATCAGTCCAAGTAAGATCACGTTTTTTGAAAGACATTAGAGTTATGCTATCAGTTGCTACAGTTCTGCAACTCCATCCAATGCTGGCTAGATTCACAATGAAGTGAAATCTGAAGTCTGATCTGAAACCTAACCAACAACTGCAAGATGTTGCAGATTTCTACCTACTTCCCATTGAAAAGAACGAGATGTAGAAACAGTTTTAGGACCATCTGACCACTGATTAACTCTTGGATGTAAGATTAAGGAAGTAACTTCACAGAAAACAGTGGGAAGAGAGGAGAGTGGAGTTTGTTCAAGTTCTACTAACTAAGAAATCGGTATTGGCTATTGTGGCTTTTCATTTGAACTTACTAACCCTAAAACCCATCTGCAATTTAAGAATAGCTGGTTAATTAAACCAGCGTGATAAAAGCTATTGAACAGCTTCTCAAACTAACTGAAAAACGTGAGTTGGACCTTCCCAGGGAAACAGTGTGTTTACCTATAGCTTGTGTTGCTCTGAGTTAATTAAGTTTAACCACCAACTAAGATCCAGGTCCTGCTTCCTAACGAAACAGTAATTATATAAATCTTTGCTATATATATATAATATATATATATTATATTATATATATATATAAAATATATTATATTATATATATATAAAAAATTCGGTCTTGAGGTTCTGCTGAGTCATGCTTTCCAAATGCACTGAAATAAATTTTCCCCCTAATGAAGATGTCACCTTTGACAGGTTGGAGCGTTACTCGTAGGCAGAGTACATACATCGTTTCAGCTCTTACAAACACATAAAATCACATTTTCCCCAAATGCTATTTTGCTTGCAATGTCAGAACACATACCAGGCTGAGGGCTGGTCTTATGCTTCTGGACTTTTTCTTTTTTAAACTTTGGCACTATGCGAAACACTGTACTTCTGTTGTTCCTCTTAGCATAATCCAGAGGAGGATCCTACATGGAAGGACAGACACAGTGACCTTTAGTTAACTGAAAGCAACAAGGTTAAATTCAACAAACAAAAAAACCCCAAAGAGCTAAATCCTGTTATACTTCTTTCCAGAAGAAAAATTTGGTCTTCGTCTTTCAGATTAACTACGGATTACTTTCTCATGTGTTTCTTTTACTAAATAACCACTAAATAGCTTTAAATTCATAAAAGGAAGAGAAAAAGCCCTAAGTTTAAAAAGCTTGCTCACAGCAGACAGAAGGATCCAGCATCATTACTGAAATTGCCTGTCCACATTAGGAAGGATTTTAATCTACTTTCACCTATTAAAAGAAAATTAAGTTCAGTTAGAAACAGGAAGTATTAATCAGACTCACCTCATCATCATTTGGTTGAAAAACATAATAAAGCCAAGGAATCTCAGCAAGTTTTCTCAACTCTGTTTCAACACTGTGCAAAGCATCAGACAACAGCTCTTCATGGGGAGCTTCTAACTGCTGTTTATACAGAAGTAGAAAAATAACATTAGTAGTATTGTTAACCTCTAACATTTAACCTGGAGGTGTTGTTACCAGAGAAGGATGCTTACTTTGCAGTGAACGTAAACAAATGCTGAAAACAACTATTCTTACCAAGGTAAATCTTCCTTTGAAGATGCATCATACTGCTCTGATACTACATTTAGCCTGGTCCCAACCACAACAGGATGCATGACCCAGCTGTGACTTTGGGTGCAGACCAGTTGGACCTCGCTGTCAGTCACTGGCATCTGTCATCACACTCCTGACTCTTCATGTTAGCAAAAGTTATCTGATAACATTGCTACTAGAACACAGCATTAGAAATGGGAACTTCCAGGACAAAAGAGAGCGAAAAAAAATCACTAAGAGAACAGCAGTGTGGGAAATCTTTGTGTGAAAAACAGTGTAAAAAACTTGGGAAGATGGTAATATGATGAAACCCAAGCTACATTTGCAGATTTCTTCCTATATGGATAGCTCTTTGCTAGTCAAGGAATAAGATGTAGATCTTGTGCCTTACCTAAGTTGCTCAGTTCCCAAAGACCTCTGAATGATACAGTGTCTGTGCTACCTCTTCTGAACAGCGGTAGCCCTTGCTGCCAGTGGGAGCATTGGGGACAAGCTCTGAAGCAGGGCAGCCCCAGAGGTGAGAGCCCTCAGAGAAGGGCAAAGAGGAAAAGAAAGTGGCAGTAATGCAAAAAAACTTGAGCTTTGCTGACCCTTTGCTTCACCCATGTGAATTTGGCTCCGTCAATGTTTTGGGAAACTCATGGTGGTGCCTTAAAAGCCTGGTCTGAAAACTGTCCTCTGTAGCTGCAGTGAGAATCGAAGGTGTGAAAAAGGGGACAGGCAGGTAGCTGATGCCCAGGAAAGCAGTCTGGGGCTTGTCTGGGGTTGCTGAAACACCACTTCGAGGCAAACCATTGAATCCCAGAACAAGTTGTGCAGAACCAACAATAAGGCAATCTGAACACCCATTTAAGGAATATAGTTCTAAAATGGAGTTGTAAGAGAATCTTCAATTTTAGTGCTGGACAAAGATTTTGATTCTGTTGGGTGGGTTTTGGTGATAAAGATTCAATAGTTTGCATTTAATAACGTTTTTCAGAGGAGAGACCAACTTTAGGAAAATTTGCTATTAGCATAGTAATATTAGAAATATAAACTCTCCCTTGCCAGAGCATTCATTTAGGGTAATTTGTCCTTCTTGCACATCTGGGAAAGGTGTCCTATTTGCAAAATGAAAATTACCACTATGAATGTTGGACACTGAAAGTAAAGATTTTCTTCAGTTCTTTCTCACTTCTCCCTTAATACACTGAAGTTGGAGTTTCCAACAGTGAAACTGTTTCTCAGTGAAAAGTCTTTTAAAAAAGAAAAAAAAATGAAATGATGCATTTGGAAAATGCCTAGACAAAACATAGTACACTCTCTCTTTTTTCAATACTGCTTTCCAGCCATAACTATCTGGGATGTTATGGCTGGAATGTCAGAGATGAGCTTCATGGTGCCATCTAATTGTGTCGCTAAAAACGGCCTTTACAGCTAAGTCACCACTTGATGTCAGTTAGCTGTTAATCATATCTTACTGGAGGCTGCAGAAACCACAGTCCCTTGTTACATATATTTGAATTTCTTTCATCTGCATCAGAAGCAAAAATGGAAAGATGGAAACAGCATCCAGGGCAAAGGCTTACCAAGCAGCATATGCAATGAAGGCATCAACTTACAACCAACAGGATGTTTGGTTACAGAAGAGAAGGGGGAGAGGGAATTGAAAAGGAAAAAAAAAAGATTAAAGAAAGACAGGAAGATTTTTTTAAAATGAATGGTTTTCTCTGGCAGGGGAGAGAAGTAATTTGGATAACAACATATGCTGACAGCAGCTGATAGACCAAGGAACACCTTACATTTCATATGTCTCTATTTTCATACACTGACGGACTGACATGCATGTAGTTTAATTGTTTTATAAAATACATGCCCATAAAGCTACCAGGGTGCCTTGTTTTTGTGACTTTAAAACACAGTTCTAAAAAAGCACAATATCAAACTAGTTTAATGAGCTCTGGATAATACCTAGATAGCTTCTAACAAACTTGTTATTAAAAAAATGAGTTTTATGCAGACTCATGAAGACATCTGCACAGACTATAATGAGAAACAGAAGAAAGATATGTAAGAATTAGAAACGCAAAATAAATCAAATTAGGCTTTGGAGTCTAATTAAGGGACCAATTCAGCAAGTTTGTAACTGGTTGTAGAAAAGGGTAAGTTTTCAGTTGGAAGGTTTTCATAACAACATTATATTCTAGACTGCCTTGATAAGTCATTTGTGTCCTAGTATTGCATCACCACCTCAAACCTTTTCTTCTAATTCTTCTTTCCAAGTTATTTTAACATTAAAACATGTTTCTCTATTGATTCCTCATTAAGCCTGAAATGAGAGATTAGTAATTGCAATCTAAAAAGAAAAGCGGATATTTTCCCTTTTTCTTGGATAAAATCATCTAATGAATAACATTCCCTTTAAAATTTTCATAAAACGTATCATATGAGCCCAACCTGTGACTACTTGTAGAGCTTAAGCAGTCATACAGACTTCAGACCATACTAAGTTTTGGTTACTCTGGGATGGGCTCCTATCTGTCAGTGCTGTAGAAAGGTACCTGAACCAACACCTTAAGTTTCACTCAACTGAAAATGATTCCTTAGATACTAATTTGTAATTATAACACTCAAACCAACAGTAAGTTACTAATATGTTTGCTTCTGAATCCAAAGAAAATGTAACTGTTCCTACTGAGGATTTTTTAATATCAAAACTGGACCAGCATAGAAAACCTTACATCTTTCTTGTCTTCACAATGTCGCATGTAGGGATTTCTGGATACATAGTGGAACATCAAATGCTCCCTTAAATTCTAAACCTCCTGAAGACATTTATCTTTAAGATAGTCCTCCAAGACAGGTCTTGCTGAAACCTGCAGGCTTACTTATTTCTTTCCATGGGCCATTAAAAAGAAGAGCCCAGGCAACCAGGTCTCAAACATCTGAAGAAGTGAGGTGAGATGGTTGCCAACCTAAGACAACAATTCATAACTCACTCCAAGCTACAAATGCAATGTAATAACTTCCAATTTGCCTTACAGAACTGCGATAACATGTCAGAAATTCTGTGCTGATCTATTAAATCAGCAGTGTGTGCAAAGAATAAATCACTTCTAGCATCAGTGAAGGAATAAAAACAAGTATCGTGTCACCTTACCAAAGGAACTCTTCCTACTAGCAGAGATTCAGTTTCGTTATGCAGTGCCTTCACATTGACAGCTATCTCCATGGCAGTGTTTCTGGTAAGACTCTGGGGAAGAAGGATTAACAGTCATTGGAAGGAATGCACGCTGGAATAGGAAAAACACTCTGGGCTTATAGTACATGGCAGAAGAACCCTCTAAGCACCCTCTCCTAAGAGAAATACGTAAATTTAGCTCTATATTGACAAACCAATCCATGCAAAGAAAAGACAACCACCATAAAGCACCATTCACAAGCCAAAATCCATATTCATTAAAAAACGTAGAATTGATTGTGTGTGAGGATATCTCACCTACTTACCTGGGGACATAAATCCCTCTTTTAGTCTTTTGCAGCACTACAATTGGGAAAGGAGAACGTGCTGCTTACTGTCTTTTCTTCAATCTTTGTTTACTATAACCTGGTAAGATCCTGAAGACCATGTGACCAAGACAAACCCTCAATATTTATGGTTGGCAGCAGAAGTGCTCTAGGCCTCACTTAATAAAACTGCCTCTCTGAGCTGTTCATGTTATCGTCAGCAGAACTAAACTGCTAGATGTATTTTAAGAAGAAACGGTTAGTTACCCATAATGATGAACAACTAGGTAAACTTAGGTTAAATAAAACTATACAGACGGACTCTGCAAGTAGTAATAAAGTAGACTTTACCTATTGTTTTTGCTCTTTCCTGACCTGAGTCTGGTTCACTCATACTCAGAGCTACATCAGCATACTGCACTTAATTTAATAAGCACTAGTGCATCACTTTAGGATGAGCATCCCATGCTGTGTGGTCCTTCCACTGCAGACAGAGCAAATTCTTGATTGCTCAAATGTGTCTGAGATGACACACATACTATTACCACATCCCAACACAAACTCTTTGGAGTATTTCCCTTTGGGCTGTGTGCTCCTTGCTTAACAAAAATCAGAAATTTTGTATTTTCATTGGTGTTCATGTCCCACTCCAACCTCCAGCCTTAGGGGACATGGAGTGAATGCAGGAAGTGCATCTTTTGCCTTCTCAGACATTACACTGCCCAAGATGAAGAGAAGACTCTTGGACCTCTTCAGTACAAAGGCAGTTCTCCTAACTCCCATTCCTGGTATAATTAATAATTATAATAATAATTAATCATTAATAATAATCAGAATTACGGAGCATAATCTCTGTCAAATTCATCAGCTACAAGGTATTTTCATAAGCATCTGAAAAACGGAGACTTCTTGCTGCTACATCTTCAGAACTGGAAGAACCTTTCCCTTTACCCCCACCTTCAATTAAGCCGCAAAAAAATGGGGAAGAT